TTTCAGTTTTATCTATTGTCTTTGAATTCTTTCAATCATGTTTATTATCTTTCATATTTATTTCAATTTCATCTAATCCATTATTTTTAATAGAAATGTCCATTATCTTTAACAAAATCTTCTTTTTCTATAAGAAAATATTTAATCCTCTAACTATATTTCTTTTGTTCTTTTAATTCTTAAATTTAAATTCATCGTAAAAATAGTTTTTATTCTTATCTTTCTAAATGTGTTCTTCAAAAAATTGTTTTACAAAGCGGACTATATGCAGTCCCACTTGTAAAATTATTTAAATGCCTTTAATTTTATTTTTATATTATTTTTTCAGAGACATTTAAATAATTTTACAGGACAGACAGCATATAATCTATCCTATAAAATAGATTTACTCTTAAAATTTTTCATTCTAAACTTACTAAGTTTCTTTGTTTAAATTGAACTAATTGTTCAACTTTATTATAAATTCTAACTAATCTATTTTTATAAAATATTTCTTGAATCATCATATTTTATTAGGATTATAAAGCCATTTTTTCAAAACTTAAAGGACTACTCTTTCCGTTAAATCTAACAAAATTTTGTATGGTAGATTATTTTGAAACATTCTTCAAAGTTTATAGACCATTTAGAAAAAAAAATAAACTTTGTAAATTAAAATGAAATTAAATTGATAGTTAATAGACTAAAAATTAAATTAAACCTTTTAAAATTTATTGGATGGGGGGCGTACATACCTTTTTGGGATATGGATCCTTCTAAAACGTTGGCCGAAAGGTCGAGCCATTTAAGTGATGGTAGTGTGCCCAAAATCCTCACAATATCTTTATTCAACCAATTGTCGTTGAGATAAAGGTACTTCAACTTGCTCAGGTGCTTGGACAAACTTGTAAAATCTAATTAAAGGATGTAATTAAATAGAGTTAATGTTTGCATATATAGACTAATGTTTATCAGTCATATTAGTTAAATAGACAAGAAAATATTTAAAATTATATTATTTTAATAAAATATTAAAAAATTAAAATAATTTTATTTTTTCTTTAAAAATTAAAA